GAGGTAAACAATAAACTGGCCGGGCGCGGTGGCTCACACCTGTAATCCCAGCACTCTGGGAGGCTGAGGCGGGCGGATCACAAGGTCAGGAGTTCGAGACCAGCCTAACCAACATGGTGAAACCCCGTCTCTACTAAAAATACAAAAAATTAGCTGGGTGTGGTGGCAACCGCCTGTAATCCCAGCTGCTCAGGAGGCTGAGGCAGGAGAATCGCTTGAACCTGGGAGGCAGAGTTTGCAGTGAGCTGAGATTGTGCCACCGCACTGCAGCCTGGACGACAGAGGGAGACTCCATCTCAAAAAAAAAAAAAAAAAAACTAAATGAATAGTGAGGGCCAGGAAGAAAATCAAACAGAGGAAGGGGAAGGAGAAGATAGGGTGTCTTGGTAGCTAGGGTAGTCAGGGAAGACTTCTCTGAGGAGGTGACACTTAGGTGAAGGTCTGTGTGGAGTGATAAACACCCAGATTCATAGATGAAGAAAAAATGAGCAAAGGCAGAAATGGAAGATCTCTTGAGCCCAGGAGTCCTGGGCTGTAGCGTGCTGTGCCGATCAGGTGTCTGTACTGAGTTCGGCGTCAGTATGGTGACCTCCCAGGAGCGGGGACCACCAGGTTGCCTGAGGAGGGGTGAACCGGCCCAGGTCGGAAACGGAGCAGGTCAAAACTCCCTGCTGATCAGCAGTGGGATCGCGCCTAGGAACAGACACTGCACTCCAGCCTGGGCAACATAGCGAGACCCCGTTTCTTAAAAAGAAAAATAAATAAGTAAATAAAGTACACATTGTTTGTAGAAACAGCGTCTCACTGTGTTGCCCAGGCTGTTCTGATTTCCTGGATATGTCATGTATTATTAATATAATAATAGCCAGTCTATTAAAGACAGCACGCGGAGACAGCCATTAAATACATTAGTCATTGAAAACCTTCCTGGAAACCATGGTCCCGAATGCCACTACCAGTTACCCTCCGTCCTCTGCCTTTAACCCATCCTAGCCCAAGAAGCAACCCCAGCTCAAATGGCCTGACGACACTACCAAACTTGTATTTATTTTTTATTTTTTTTATTTTTTTATTTTTTTTTGAGACGGAGTTTCGCTCTTGTTACCCAGGCTGGAGTGCAATGGCGCGATCTCGGCTCACCGCAACCTCCGCCTCCTGGGTTCAGGCAATTCTCCTGCCTCAGCCTCCCGAGTAGCTGGGATTACAGGCACGCGCCACCGTGCCCAGCTAATTTTTTGTATTTTTAGTAGAGACGGGGTTTCACCATGTTGACAAGGATGGTCTCGATCTCTTGACCTCGTGATCCACCCGCCTCGGCCTCCCAAAGTGCTGGGATTACAGGCGTGAGCCACCGCGCCAGGCCTGTATTTATTTATTCATTGAGACATAGCATTGCTCTGAGGCCCAGGCTAGAATGCAATGGCACAATCTCAGCTCACTGCAACCTCCACCTCCCAGGTTCAAGCAGTTCTCCTGCCTCAGCCTCCTGAGTCACTGGGACTACAGGCACGCACCATCATGCCCAGCTAATTTTTGTATTTTTAGTAGAGACAGGGTTTCACCATGTTGGCCACGCTGGTCTCGAACTCTTGACCTAAAACAGTCCACCCACCTCGGCCTCCCAGAGTGCTGGGATTACAGGCGTGAGCCACCGCGCCGGGCCACTACCAAACATTTAAGGAAAGGAAAAAAGAGGCAAGAAGCTGGGTGGCCAGCGCCAAAGGACCGATTAGGACAGAAAGCAGCAGCAGCCAGGGCAGAGAGGTCAAGGGGGACCAGGGTTTGGCTTTGACACCATAGCAGATTTTGCCGGAGAAATAAGTGGGTGAAAAAAAAAATCTTTTTTTTTTGAGACAGAGTCAGCTTTGCTCCGACGCGCAGGCTGGCGTGCAGTGGCGTGATCAGCTCATTGAAGGCTTGACCTCCCAGGCTCAAGTGATCCTCTTACGTCAGCCTCCCAAGTAGCTGGGACCACGGTGTACCCCACCGTGCCCGGCCAATCGTTTTATCTTTTGTAGAGACAGGATCTTGCTATGTTGCCCAGGCTGGCCTCAAACTCCTGAGCTCAAGCGATTCTCCCATCTAGGCCTCCCAAAGTGCTAAGATTACAGGCATGAGCCACTGCGCCTGGCCAAGGACCCTCTCAACTCTAGCCTCGACCCCTCCTGCTGAACTAGATAAAAGAATATTTCAGGTGGATCACCTGAGGTCAGGAGTTCGAGAGCAGCCTGGCCAACATGGTGAAGCCCCGTCTCTGCTAAAAATACAAAAGTTAGCCAGGCGTGGTGGCGCGTGCCTGTAGTCCCAGTTAGGAGGCTGAGGCCGGAGAATCACTTGAACTGAGGAGACAGAGATTTCAGTGAGCTGAGATCGCGCCACTGTGCTCCGGCCTGGGTGTCAAAGCAAAATCCCATCTCCAAAAATAAAAATAAAAATAAGGCCGGGCGCGGTGGCTCACGCCTGTAATGCCAGCACTTTGGGAGGCCAAGGAGGGTGGATCACGAGGTCAGGAGTTCAAGACCAGCCTGGACAAAAAAGTGAAACTCTGTCTCTACTAAAAATACAAAAATTAGCCAGGCGTGGTGGTGCGCACCTGTAATCCCATCTACTCTGGAGGCTGAGGCAGGAGAATCGCTTGAACCCAGAAGGTGGAGGTTGCAGTGATCTGAGATCTCGCCACTGCACTCCAGCCTGGGGGACAGAGATGAGACTCCATCTTAAAAAAATAAAAATAAAAAAAAAGAGGCTGGTTGCTGCGACTCAAGCCTGTGATCCCAGCACTTTGGGAGGCTGAGGTGGGCAGATCACCAGGTCAGGATTTCAAGACCAGCCTGTCCAACATGGTGAAACCCCATCTTTACCAAAAATACAAAAAACTTAGCCAGGCACGGTGGGGGGCTCCTATAATCCCAGGAGCTGAGGCAGAAGAATCACTTGAACCCCAGAGGCGGAGGTTGCAGTGAGCCGAGATCTCGCCACTGCACTCCAGCCTGGGTGACAGAGCAAGACTCCATCTCAAAAATAATAAAATAAAATAAAATAATAAAAAGAAAGAAAAGAAAAAAGACCCCGTAAAGGGGTAGTTGCCGGCGTCCCCTCCTTCCCACTTGATTTCCTGTCTCTCTCCTCTCCGGCTGCCTCTTCCCCACTGAACGAGGGAAGGATGATGACGCCCATCACAGGATGCCCAGGCTCTTTGCCCGGGACAGACACATGTGAGTCCAGAAGACTTGCCATCTTCTCCAGCCCCCAGCCCAGGGTTCAGGGATCCCAGGAGACCCTCCCACGCTACATCCCTGGCTTCGACCAACAGGGCTGTAATCAGGGAAGGGTGGTTGGGGAAACAAGGTGTAGGAATGAGAAGACCCTGACGTTTCAGAGATCAGAATTTGGTTTTTTTTTTTTTTTTGAGATGGAGTTTCGTTCTGGTTGCCCAGGCTGGAGTACAGTGGTGCGGCCTTGGTTCGCTGCAGCCTCCGCCTCCCAGTTTCAAACGATTCTCCTGCCTCAGCCTCCCGAGTAGCTGGAATTACAGGCGCGCGCCACCACACCCAGCTGATTTTTTTTTTTTTTTAATTTTAGTAGAGACGGGGTTTTGCCATGTTGGCCAGGCTGGTCTCGAACTCCTGGCCATCTGCTCACCTCAACCTCCCAAAGTGCTGGGATTACGGGCCTGATTTTTTTTCTTTCTTTCTTTTTTTTTTTTTTTCTTGAGACAGTCTTGCTCTGTCACCTAGGCTGGAGTGTAGTGGCACCATCTCAGTTCACTGCAACCTCTGCCTCCTGGGTTCAAGCAATTCTCATGCCGCAGCCTCCCAAGCAGCTGGCATTACAGGTGGGCGCCATCACGCCCGGCTAATTGTTTGTTTTGAGACCGAGTCTCACACTGTCACCCAGGTTGGAGTGCGACGGCGCGATCTCGACTCCCCGCAACCTCCGCCTCCCGGATTCACGCAATTCTGCCTCAACCTCCTGAGTAGCTGGGACTACAGGCGCACACCACCACACCCGGTTAATTTTTTGTATTTTTAGTAGAGATGGGGCTTCACTATTTGGCCAGGCTGGTCTCAATCCCCTGACATGGTGATCGGCCCACCTCGTCCTCCCAAAGTGCTGGGATTGCAGACGTGAGCCACCATGCCCCACTGATTTTTATAATTTTAGTAGAGATGGGGCATCACCATGTTGGCCTGGCTGTGTCTTGAACTCCTGACCTCTGATCCGCCCACCTCGTCCTCCCAAAGTGCTGGGATCACAGGCTGGAGCCACCGCGCCCGGCCAGAGTTCGGAATCTTGAAGCCTTAGTGACTCCGACTCCCCATCTGAGGCCCCCGCGTGGACGCCATCGCCCCATCTCGTTTTCCCGTAGATATTTTTGTTGCCGGAATTATTTTGTCTGCTCATGAGTTTACAGACTGGAAATGACATCCAGGGAGACAGAAACACCTTTCTCTGCTGGCTGCGGTGTCCCTGGGAGTTACTCAATAGATCTTGAATGAATGAATGAACCAATGAACCAATCAATCCATCCTTTCTGGCCCCCAGACAAGCCCTAGGCAAGCCCTCTCCAGCTGTGGCAGGGAGATTAAACACCAGAAGGAGCTGAGCCCTCCGGAGACGGAGGAGAGGCTGGGGCCGGCCGCTCCCTTGCGGGCGGGCTGGCCAGAACGGGTTGCACACCTGAGCTCATCATTCTCTTGCCGTGACACAGGCAGGTAGGGCGGGCTGGGCCTGCCTGACGAGGGGCCGGCCGAGTCACGTCTGCTGCTGTGTGTGCCCCGTGCAGTGGACGGGCCTGGGCACCGGCGCTGCTCTCACGTTGGACAAGGAACTTGGGCTCTCTGAGCCTCAGTCTTTCTCATCTGGAAAATGGGTTCCCAGGCTCCCGATTCCCTGGGAAGCGGCGCGGCCTCTGTCATGCCTATGTCTGACCTAGCCCGGTCCTCCCCCTTGCCCGGACGCCCTGCCAGCTGCCCACCGCCCACCGGCCCTGGACTCACCCAGAAGCAGCAGCTTGAGCTCCCCGCGGTCCTGCTTCTTCTGCTCCAAGAGGATCCTGTTGATCTCCTGGTCCACCCGGGCGGCGGCCTTCTCATCCTCCGTCAGGCACCATGGGCAGCAGCGCCAGGTCAGCGAGCGCGCCATGGTTCGGTGGCCTCAGACGGCACGGGGTGGCATTGCCCCTGGGTCCCCGCTACCCAGGGCACCCCCAGCCCAGCCGGCCCTGGAGAGGGCTCCGGGCAGCCGGATGCACAGGGGGACTGCCTTCTTCTTGGGGGGGCCACCCCCGGGGACCCAGCCTTCCTTTCTGGAACACCCAGGAAGCCCGGCTCGGCGGTGGCAAGCCTCGAGTGCTGGAAACAGGGTGGGGACGGGAGGAGGTGGGGAGGCTCAGGGCTCCCCGCCCACCGCCAGACCTGCCCAGACCCGGCCCAACAGGTTGACGTTGAAGGGTGCCGGGAGAGGGTGAGGTGGGGGCCCCACGGAGGGCGGGGCGGTGGCGGGAAAATCCCCACCACAAACTGGGCCCGGCGAAGCCACGGGGCCTTCTTCCTCCTTTTGGAGAAGGGGCGGCCGCTCCTCCTCGGGCCTCGCCTGGAGCTGTCCCCTCCTCTGAACCAATTAGAAACTGTCA